CCGCAAACACTAATTTGTCAATATGCTCGCTAACTTCTTGATAGAGAGCTTCGGAGGCTTGGGGGTGGAGAAGGAGAGCTTGTTTGGCTAACGAGTCCGCATACCGATTACCTATGCCGATTCTCCTCTCGGGCTCAGGGAGACTGTCGAGGGCCTCCTGAGATCTATGAGCGGAGGTGTGGAAGACACGAACCTCGTGGTCCGATTTTTCAATAGAGCAAGACCCCCCGACGCATTCCTCCGTAACGATGCTTATAAGACACCTGGTGATGCGACGAGGTGTTACACAGCTTAGTCACCGTAGCGCAATCCGAGTATCTGTCACCGCTGTACTCAACAAACATGGGCAGCACCGCCATAGCCTGGTGCTCGGCCGCCTGTGGGGTCTGCTGGAGGACGTCCCACACCGTTCCTTTGGCGAAGGCTCGCACCTCACCAGCGTCGTCCAAAAAGACCCAGGCATAGGCGGCCCGAGACAACTCCCTAATCACATGCCGAGCGCACGACCCGTCCATGCAGACGTCGAGGCCTCGGAGGTCCAAGGAATCCCACTGGATTTCTTTACCTGAGGGGTCATACAACTTGGGGTTGGGGTCGTCGCCGGGGCAGGGCATTCGGGACCCAGGGTGATCCCATTTAAGCTCATCCCAGAAACAACGGTCGTCGCTGCTAATCGCCTCGGCCAGCCAAGTGGGATGGTCATCTGTAACTTCCTGGCGAGCCTGCACAGCGTCTGGATGGTCGCACTCCCAAACACGGTGCTTCACACCGTCGGCGCAACTGCACAACGGACACAGTCCATCACAACTGTAGCCTGCCGCACGTGCTCGTGCGCGTGTCCACACGCCTGAGCAGAACACGGTGACAGCCAAATACTTTTCTCTCGTGCTCAGTTTCTTGCTAGTGGGGCCAAGGAGCTTAACCAGAGGCTCCGTGCACACCCTACTACCGACAAACGACGGGGAGAGCTCAGCCAAGACCCTCTCGTGATGCCTCTGGGTCCCCAGCTGAAGTAACTGAGCCACGAGGGAGGGGGAGTTGAAACCAAGGTGAACCACCCTGTTGAAATCATCGACCCACGTCAGAGCCGAGACAGATTGCCAGCCAATCCTATTGAGCGAGATATGCATTCTCTGGATGGGCCCACGAGAGCTCTTCCAAGACAACCCCTCACCCCGAGGAATAAAATTCCACATCTGACACGGCTCCTTAATGTTATAGTGGGACGTGGAGGGGGAGGTGAGGGCAATCCAAACAATATGAGCCCAATGCAAGGCTGGGGCCACTCCAGCCCTCCAAGCAGGGTCCCCACAAAAGGCCAACTTGGCATGAAACGAAACGCCCTGGTGGTACGGGGGTTTGTACGCAAGTAAAACTCTCTGGGCTTGTTTCATGAGGAGGAGGAGGAGGAGGAGGAGGAGGAGGAGGAGGAGGAGGAGGAGCAGGAGGAGGAGGAGGAGGAGGAGGAGGAGGAGGGATTGTGGGGGCTGGGGCCGCCACCCCCACTGCAATGCGTGGTGTTTCCCGTAAAATTTACCAGCAGATTTGCCGATCGTGGCAACCACGACACAGTTGTGAGGATGAAGAGGGGGAAGAGAGCACAGCGGGCACGAGGGTGAAGCACAACCTTAGCATTGGAGGGTCACCCTTGCGTCCTCAGTGCTGGGCCCTCCACCGTGGGATGGGCTCTGGTCACGACCCATGTCCTTGAGGCCTTCGTCGAAGGGGCTCATGCTCTCGACCCACGTTCTTGTGGCCATGCTTCGACAGCGCCACGGGGGTGGGGACGGACTGCTTGTGACCGAGAGGCACGGCCCCTGCTCGCCGTGCCCAGCGCCGCGGCCGGCGCCCGGCGCCCTGTGGCAGTGCGCAGGCGGGCGTGTGGTCCAAAGCAGCGGGGTGCCTGTCAGAGAAGTGGCCTGGGCTTGCGTTCGGGGGAGCGCGTGGCAAGTCGGGCGGGCCCCCGCCCCCCTCCCCACCGGTGCTCCGCGAGGGCGGGGTGGACGGAGTACGGGCAGGGCCGGGCCGGCCCGAGGGCGGGGCGGTGCCTTCCCCCTCCGGAGCGCCAGCGGGGAGCGCGGAGGGAGGTCGCCAAGGGGCGGGGAGGGCGCCAGGGGGCGAGCGGTGGCGCTCGGGAGGTGCTTCGTTTGGGGGAGTCGGCGGGGTGGAACGCAGCCCTTGCGCAGGCCAAGCGAGCGGCGAAAGGCACGGGGTCGACTGCGCCGACGCTCGCGCGCGGGCTGCCCGCGTGAATGGCCGTGGGTGAACGCCCTGTCTTCCTGCGCGATGTGCCGCGCCAGCGGCCTGCGTGATCACCGTGTGAGATCGACACGCCGTCGTGCGTGAGACCCGTTTGCCCTCGTCGCTCGCGGGCCACTCGTGTTGTTGCACGCGGGCTCGCGGGCCCAGCGCGCGAGGGCTCTGGGAAGCGAGTGCCAGGCCGACCTCGGGGCCGAGGGTGTCCAGAGGGTCTTATCCACGAGCCCGTCGAGCGCTGAACGGCTCCCGCAGGAAACGGCCAGCCCTTGGGTTAGCTCAGGACGCTTTTTTCAATGATCCTCAGGACGTGTGTTAGCCCAATGTGTGTTTACCCCATTCAGCCCAATCCGTAGATCATTGCATCGCCTGGGTCGTGTCGAAGGGCCTCGGTGGACAAACACACGTTGGGGCTAACACACGTTCTGAGGATCATCGGTTTTTCTGCAGTGCAGGTTTGCAGCGGCACTTCTCAGTTATTCGTGGCTGTCGCGTTCGAGAAGAAGGAAACGGCCAGCCCTTCGAAGGAGAGAAGCCAGGCAGGCCAAGGACGAGAATGAACAGTCGACCTCCGCCACGTTGGGAAAGTTGTGGCCGGCGTGTCGGGGGAACCCGCTCATGCGGCTCCGAGCGGGACCCCAGAGAGAAGGATGTTTCAGACGAGCGATGCCGATCTCGCAGGTCCGCTCAGCTTCGCGCGCAGGGTCGTCGCACGTTGGCGCTTCCGCTCGCACCTCGAGGCCTCCGAGTGCAGCGCCGCGGTCTCAGGAGTCCCCTTCGCTGGCGTCCTCCTGGGAGGCACACCGCCCGGCGATTCCGTCCAGGTCTGGGGCCCTGGAGGGGCTTGCCTCCAAGCTGGGCGTGTCCCTCTGCAGGAGAAATATGCAAAAATAGTCCAAGAATAGTCCAGGGGCCATTTTTTAATATTTGTTTGACCATTTTTGGGTATTTTTGTGGAGTATTTTTCTTCGCCCAAAATCCTCCTGTAGGGGGACATGCCCGACCTAAGCCTACCTCCACTTTCGCCCTTCCAATACGCCGCCGACGTTGAGACGCTGGTCCAGCGCGCGGATTGCTCCAGAGCGCTTCGGGGTGCTCTCGTAGCGTCCCTGCCACGCTCCGGAACGGCCGCAGCGCCCAGTGCGTACTCTGGCGACGAGCGAGGGGGGGAAGTGAGAAGGAGAAGGCCTTCTCAGAAGGCTCGGAAGTCCCCTGGCCTCCTGAGAAGTGTTCTAAGCCTTGCCCGAAGACAAAACAAGTTCTCTGAAGGCGCGATGGTTTCTGAGAATCCCGCCGCCTTCTGAGAAGGCCTTCTCCTTCTCGTTTCCCCCCTCGCTCGCGCCCGACTCAGAGATTCCCGAGCCTCAGAGGAGGGCGAGTTGAGACAACGGCGGGTGGCCTTCGGCATGGCTGGACGCAGCTCGGAAGATTGGTGCGTCTGGAGACTAGTCTGGGGGCCGATTGGAGTTGCCGTTGTCTCAATTCGCCCTGCTCCGAGAGTGGTCTCTGTCCGATGCTGTATTGTCCTTACCGTCGTCATATGGAGAGATGAGTTGCGGGAGCGCTTCCGTCCTGGATGTTGCCGACGGAAGGTTAGTGGCAGCTGGCATTTGTTCTTCGGAAGCTCCACCAGAGGCGCAGAATCATCAACGCAAGCGCGCCCCCCGAGAGATGCCGATCTAGTTTTGGTCAGCCCCACTCCCGTGGCGCTTCTTCCGGTGCTGAGTCACAGCATATCAGAGTGAGGGCCCGAACTTACCTAACGAGGTTCTGGGCGCCCCCTCCAGGATTCTATACAGCGGGGGCCCGCATCAAGAAACTATCTGCTTTTCGTCAGGGTATCCTGAGTTTCTTCGCTCCTCGCGCTGCGCGGTGACTTCTCGCAGCCGTTGAAGGAGCTGCTACGTTCAGGGTGCTCCGGGTTTCCCCTCAGGTGCGCCTCGCGCACGGGTTCTCAGGGTTGGGTTTCTTGCAAGGGTTTCTTGCGGCCGCGCCCGCACTGTAAGCCCAGAGTGGCCTCAGGATATCTGCCATCCAGGTGCGCTGCCGCACGAACCCGCCACCGCGCTCGGGCGGGGGCGCATGGGGGGCAGGAGCGGGGGTTCCTCCTCCTCTTCCTCTTCCTCCTCCTCCTCTTCCTCCTCCTCCTCTTCCTCCTCCTCCTCTTCCTCCTCCTCCTCTTCATCTTCCTCCTCCTCCTCCTCCTCTTCCTCTTCCTTCTCCTTCTCCTCCTCCTCCTCGCCCTGGGGAGGTGGTGCCACGGAAGCTCCCACGCGGACTTCTGATGCTGGGTCCGTGCGCCAGTCGGGACACAGCAAGCTCCGGGGATTCTGCCACAGCATGGAGCGCGAGTGGGGCTCGATGCGTCTGTGCGGGGCCTGTGGCTTTCAGCGAAGGGGAGCTCACAAACCGCAGGGGTTCGACACAGCGTGCCGCTTCAAGCCGCACGGCGGCGGATGCGGCGCAGCCTCTCCTTGGCTTGGGCCGCTTCCAGCTCCCTTGTGGCCTAATCTTGAGTCGGGCGTGTCCCTCTACAGGAGGAATCTTCAAAACGAGTCAAACAATGGTCTCGGGACGATTTTTCGACCATGTTTGAGCATGTTTTGACTCTTGATTATTTCATTGTTAGCCCAACATTTGCCTGTAGTGGGACCTGCCCGACCTGAGCCTGATCCTGAGGTGGCCAGCGCGAGGCGGACGCCCATCCTGGAGAGGCAGCGACGCCGCCCGCCGCCGCAGCCGAGGCAGTCGGGGGAAGCCGCAAGCGTCTTCTCGGTCCCCCCCGAGGTGAGGAGGAGGAGGAGGAGGAGGAGGAGGAGGAGGAGGAGGAGGAGGAGGAAAAGTCCACAATGGCACCCTCCGCCTTGGCACCGAGACAAATCCCTGAACAGGCACACCCCCATGTGCATTCCTGCGTGGACGTGCGGCCGACACGCCGGGCCACGGTGGACACTTGTCCCAAAGATGGTGAAGTGCTGGGGCCGCGGATTCAAGCAGCAGGAGGAGGAGGAGGAGGAGGAGGAGGGAGGAGGAGGAGGAGGAGGGGGAGGAGGAGGAGGAGGAGGAGGAGGAGGAGGAGGAGGAGAGGGGAGGGGGATGGGAGGGGGGGATGAGGAGGAGGGACGGGAATGGAGGAGGAGGAGGAGGCGGAGGAGGAGGAGGAGAAGGCGGAAAAGAGGAAAAGGAGGAAAAGGGAGGAGGAGGAGGAGGAGGAGGAGGAGGAGGAGGAGGAGGAGGAGGAGGAGGAGGAGGAGGAGGAGGAGGGAGAGGAGGAGGAGGAGGAGGAGGAGGAGGAGGAGGAGGAGGAGGAGGAGGAGGAGGAGAGAGGAGAGAGGAGAGAAGAGAGAGGAGAGAGGAGAGAGGAGAAGGAGGGAGGAGCAGGACGTGGAGGGGGAGGGGGAGGGGGAGGAGGACCTTGGGCGCCTCTTGTGGGAGCTTCATGAGTGCATCTTGGAGACCCCCGTCCGCCCTCTCCCCCTTCCGCCGCACGGCCACGCCAGTGCGCGGCCGTCAACGCTGACTGCGCGTGGGCGCCGAGGACCTGCGGTCGGCGCTGCGCTCGGCCCGAGGTGGCGCCTCGGCTGCGCGAGCCCTGCACGGGCTGCTCCCGGGCGGCCTCGTCTCGGAGGGGGAGCTCCGACGGAGGCGGCGTGCCGTGGCTCCGACGGGCTCTGACGGAGGCGGCGTGGGTGCCAGCGCCGTGTGCTGTGGCTGGCCGTGCGCGTGGTTGCTGGCTCGGGTGGGCTGGCTGTCTGGCCTCACCGGTTCCGCGTGCACCACCCCGCGCTGGCGCCCACGCTCTCTCGGCTGTGGCCGCGGAGGGGCCGGGCGCCGTGTGGACCTGGGGCGCCAGTTTGCGGCGCGGGGCGCGGCTGAGGGCGGCACCGCCTTTCTCCGCGCGCACTGGCGGGTCCCGCATTGGCGGTGGTATGTCTCCTCCTCCTCCTCCTCCTCCTCCTCCTCCTCCTCCACAGCATCATCATCAGCAGCAGCATTACCATCATCCTTCATTCTTTTTTGCCTTATGAAGAATTCCTTGCACAATTCTTCTCTGTCGCATCCCGACGCCAGTCGGAAGGGCGGGAAGGGCGTTTCGCTTGGGATTCCTTTACCAATTAGGAGCCTGAAGCTAAAACATTGGCACCAGCTTCACAGATGGAGGGCGGGCCGCTTCCAAAAGCTGGCTCTCGCCGTAGCGCCGCGCACATTCCTCTCAAACATTTGGAAGCTTCACGGATTAAGGCGGTTCGTTTTCAAAATGGTGTTCTCGCTTTCGCGCCGCGCACAATGTTTTCAAAGTTTGCAGGAGCTTCTCGCATTGAGGACAGGTCGTTTTCAAAATGTGGCTCTCGCTGTAGCGCCGCGAACACTTTGCAAACAGTTAACAAGAAGTTGATGCTTGTTCATGGTTATTGTACCAGATATTATGTTCTGGAACGAGTCAGGATTGTCAGGGCACGACAGATAGATTGATTCGCAGTGCTGAAGTCCCAGGAGTGGCGTTCTGTCGCGATTCGGGATCGTCAGGACGCAACCGCCAGGTTGACTCGTGGCACTGAAGTCCTGCGTATAGTGTTTTAGCACGCTTCAGGATTTTCACGCGGTTGTCCCCAAACAGGGCATTTCCTTCAGTCAGGGCAGTTCCTTCAGTGTAAATGAGCCCCTGTAGGGGCCCATGAAGAAGGGTTAGGGTGGATTTCAACATCTCGTTGATGAGTCTTGGGTTTACACTAGTCCTCCTCCTCCGCTCCTTTTCCTTATAATATGTTTTTCCTTGTCGCACCCCGAGGCAAGTTTTTAGGGCGGTCCGGGCGTTTCGCCTGAGACTTCCTCACCATTGGTGACCCCAAATATTAAGAATTGACAGCAGCTTCACAGATGGAGGGCGGGTCGTTTTCAAAATGTCGCTCTCGCCTTAGCGCCGCGCATATTCGTTGGACAATTTGCAAGAGCTTCACGGATTGAGGCGGTTCGTTTTCAAAATGGGGTTCTCGCTATAGCGCCGCGCACATTCGTTGCAAGATGTTTCAGCAGCTTCACGGATTGAGGGCGGCTCCTTCTCAAAATGTGGTTCTCGCTGTAGCGCCGCGCATTTTTTCTTATCCGTAAGGGCTTCGCCCCCTGCCGCCGGCCCCCTCTCTCGGAGAATGGGCCATGGAAGAGCTAAGTCATGAGGCCTTGGCGCTATCGTGAAGCAGTATCGAAACTTCATGCGAAGCCGATTCGCAATCAGCAAAACCAACTGATCACAAGAGGGGTTACCACACCTGGCGATTGGTAAGACGTGTATGGTTTACGGGCTTGGTTACCACACCTTGCGATTAAAGGGCCGAGGGAGTTCTCGCAGTTTGGGTTACCACGCCTTGCGATGGATGTGCGTGAAGGGTGGCACCGAATTTCAGAAATGTTGCAAATCCCCTGTGTTTTTGGACCCTGACCCCGCGGATCTGCATAAGGGGTGGCGCCGAATTTCAGAAATGTGGCAAATCCCTGTGTTTTTGGACCCTGACCCCGCGGATCTGCGTGAGGGGTGGCACCGAATTTCAGAAATGTGGCAAATCCCATGTGTTTTTGGACCCTGACCCCGCGGATCTGCGTGAGGGGTGGCACCGAATTTCAGAAATGTGGCAAATCCCTTGTGTTTTTGGACCCTGACCCCGCGGATCTGCGTGAGGGGTGGCACCGAATTTCAGAAATGTGGCAAATCCCTGTGTTTTTGGACCCTGACCCCGCGGATCTGCGTGAGGGGTGGCACCGAATTTCAGAAATGTGGCAAATCCCTTGTGTTTTTGGACCCTGACCCCGCGGATCTGCGTGAGGGGTGGCACCGAATTTCAGAAATGTGGCAAATCCCTTGTGTTTTTGGACCCTGACCCCGCGGATCTGCGTGAGGGGTGTCGATTTCGAGCCCCCCCAGCAATTCAGACAACGCGCCCAGGGGACGCTAAAAAGCCGGTTTGGGCCTCCCCCCCCCTCGCGCGGTCAATCAACTAGTTACAGTAAACAGCAATAAGCAGAATTGTAACACTGGAAACTACAAGCTACAACTGGTACAGGAAACTGCGAATCCCGCTCCTCGCAGCCTGGTGGCCCCACAAGGGGGCCGGCGGATTTTGCGAAAGTTTCACGGAGTCCTATGATCAGCATACCAGAAATAGCGTTTTAGAAGGATTCCATGTTTTCGGGGTGCAACAGTTTCGCTGCGTTGAAGCTCCAGGAATGGCGTTTTGGTGCGATTCAAATCGTCAAGGCGCAACAGTCAGGTTGATCCTTGGCGTTGCAATCCCGAGAACCATGTTTTTGGCATGCTTCGGGGTCTTAAACGTTTGCCCCCCCAACAGGGCATTTCCTTCGGTGAAAATGAGCCCCTGTAGGGGCTTATGAAGAGGGAGTTTGGAGGTAGGGTGTATTCAAACATCTCGTTGATGACTCTTGGGTTTGCACTGGTCCTCCTCCTCCTCCTCCTCCTCCTTGTCCTCCTTCTCCTCCTCCTCCTCCTCTTCCTCCTCCTCCTCCTCCTCCTCCTTGGCTCAAGTAACCTGCTTACTCAACAAGTAACCTGCTTACCGAAACTGTTCGTGTAACCGGCTTACCGTACATACTTTCAGCATGAAGGCAGGAGATGCCCGGAAGGCTGCAGAGCCCACCGGCGAGACTCCGGCTGACAAGCGCGCCAAGAAGGATGATGACGCGTTTCATGATGCAGAGGAGGCGTTGGAAGAGGAGAAGGAAGAAGAAAAGGAAGACATGAGCGAAGAGAACGAGGATGACATGAAGACGATGATGAAGAAGATGATGAACATGATGAGGGACATGAGGAAGGGGATGAAGAACGTCAAACAGGTAGCGGGGGAGGCAAAGGATTTAGCCCAAAAGGCGAAGACGTCAGCCGACCAGGCCGTTCAGTCGGTGGAGTCGGTGAGGATTGAAACGGCCACCTTGAGGACGAACGTTGTCACTGAGGAAAAGCTTCCAGATATGGTTAATAAAACACTGTCCGCAAAAGGCGTTGGAGGCATTCCGGAGCAGAAGACAGGTACTACTCCACCACATGCGGAAGAGGTAACTTGGAGGGCATTCGCAGGAAAGGGAGAGGGGAAAGGAGAAGCAAGCATGGAGAATATATCAAGGACCATCTACTTTGGTGATTTTCCCGAAGACACTAAAGACGTGACCATTAAGAGCTACCTTCAGGAGCGGACGGCAGCAGTTCAGGAAGATGTGGAGGATACGTTTTCGCTTGGGCGATTTTCTACTAGGGGGGCGGTGAGATTCAAGTCACAAACGTCTATGTGGAAGTACATGGAGAACAACAAAGGGCATATTCAGAAGGACGTCTTAGGTAAGACCTGTATGCTAACTCTGATTCGATGCACGACCCAGGCCCGAAGAAATCCAAAGCCGTTCGGAAGGTTGTGAGAGTTATCATTGGGCGGAGACGGAAGGAAGCTAAAGAAGGACATCGCCACAAACTATTCGAAGGGAAGGGCGTGGTGGAATGACAAACGAGTCGCCGAGTCGTCCGAGGAGGAGGGCCGGATGGAGTTATTTGGCGCAGCAGTGGCATGCCAAGACGATTGCGATCAGTTGATGGCCCCATAGTAGGGCGAGGCTGGGGCGGATAATGTTCGGAGGGGGACTGGAGGAGAGGGATATGGAAGAGGAAAGTATGCGAATGCTGTTCCAGCGTGCATCCTAGAGAGTACCAGTACGAGGAGGAATCTCAATCAGGACTTAGAGGCTG